ATTTTGATAAGTTCATTTGGCCAAGGTAGCAGTAGAGTTGGCTTCTATTCAGAAAAAAAAAGCATTTTTAGAAGGACTTAGATTTCCTCTTGAAATCACAGTTCTGAGTTCTAATCAGCCCACAAAAACAAAGAGGATCAGACTAAGCAGCTACTGTAGACTAAACACTGATACTGCTAATTTTCACCAATCAGTGTGACTTTTAACATGATACATGCTTTTGTAGTACACGTAGGGCATATCTACACTAGGAAATAATTTCAAAATAAGTACAATAAATAAACCTCAAAATAACACACCCACACTATAAGGCAGCATTGAAATTACTCAGAATTATTTTGAAATATTGTATCCATGCTGATTGGAGCTTGCCTTGGACTTAGAGCCCCCGGAAGCATTCTGGGCAGGGCACCAGGAGGGCAGACACTTCCTGTGGCTGCTTGGTCCAGCAAGCTGACACACATGCTTTCAGGGGCTCCTCTCAATGGCCGCATCTCACATGCCACTCCTCTGCTGTCTCTCCCCTCATGGGACACCAAACTGATGCAGTGTTCTCTGTTTGCCCTTGTGGACGCCACAGCACTAACATGGAGCCAGAGCTGCTGCCAAGCAATGGCAGGCTAACTTATCTCATGCTGCGCTCATGGCACAGTATGTCAACGCTGCCCACATGCTGCTCCAGCAGGGCAACGAGCAGCTCGAACTGGAGGACCCCTTCACCCCAGTGCTGGCACTCCTGCTGCTGCAAATACCCTTAACCCCCCTGCACACCGTGGCCAGCCGCTTCTTTCAGAGGGAGACCAGTTTTGACTGGTAGGACCACATTGTCCTACAGCGATGAGATGACCAGCAGTGGCTCCAGAACTTCCGGATGCAGAAGACTACCTTCCTGGAGCTCTGAGAATGGCTCACCCCTGTCCTCAGGCAACAGGACACCCAGTTGAGATCGCACTTTGGAAGCTCACTGTGCCAGACAGTTACCACTCCATTGGGAACCAGTTCGGCGTAGGGAAATCCACAGTCGAGGCCATGGTTCTTCAGGTAGCCAAGGCCATCAACAACATGCTGCTACAGAGGGTCACCACTCTGGGGAACATTGACAACATCATCAATAGCTTTGCCACCATGGGCTTTCCCAACTCCAGGGGGGGGGGGGGGCTAAGA